CGACAGACTGGCTCTCTCTCTGCCCTGGGACAGGAAGCCCTAACAGCTTTCATCTTGTTCCTTCCTCTCAGTAATACTGCCTGTCAGTTTGATGCATGAATGAATTTTGAATGGCTCAGTGTGCTTTCCTGCGCAGCACCAAAATATTAATTATAATGCAGTAAGTTAATTAAAATGCAATGCAATCCCTGGCAAGTCAGGTCACCAAAAATGTCTTAAAATAGAGCCCACAAGAAATAAGAGAGACTCTTTCAACAGAAAAGCTTGGCAAATTTCCCCTGCCAAGCCTCTGAGGTGCTTCCTTTTGCTATTAGTGCTCACTCGTCATTTGGATTCTCTCTGGAAACAAACACACACCTTTCACAGAAAAGAAAAGTATCTTCCCTCTCACGCTTGTATCCGCCTACCCATTAGCGGTATTGTCTCCTTCCCTGACACTTGGGGTAGGAGTCGAAACAGTCTGTAGGGTAAGTTAGATTATCTGAGAACTGTTGTTTTCATCTTACCTCTTCCCCATGTGGCACCACCCATGGTTAGAGACAACACACAGCACCCCTAGCTGATTCAGTCTTGACAATTCCTGTATTTTTGTTATGGGTCTTACCCCAAGGCTATTTGCTCTAAGGTACTTTTGCTAGGAGCACAGTCTCCATAGTGAAATACAGATGAAAGTCCATTTCTCATATACAGCTGAAGAAAATTCTGTGAAAAGCATGGAGAAAGCAATGACCTCTAGAGCATAGTTCCCTTCTTCAAGCTCTCATCTGGTCTGCTCAGGCTTGATTTTATTTATTTATTTTCTCAAACCAGGCTTGGGGTTACCTTGCACTCCTCCAAGAAAATCTGCACACATTTCTTTGGGTGTGATGGGAAAGCTGGAAAAATGTCAGATACCTCCAAATCTAAAACCCCCTCTAAAGGCACAGTACCTCTTGTACCACTGAAGGGTACTTGACTGCATCATCCCCAAATGCTAAGGTTGCGGTAAATGTGGATTTGAGAGTCTAATATGGACAAGAGTTGAATTACTGGCTGGAATCAGACTCTGGGTCCCAATCGTGGCCAGGTCAAGGTGATGTGGGGCCCTAGGGCCTTACCCTACTTGGATGGAAGTGGCACGGGCCCTGATCCAGCCCGTGGACCAACTCTGTACCATTCTTCTTGGCTGTGGGGCCAAAACCCTGAATACCACTGCTGTATAGTAACATTAACACACAATATTTGGTTAACAATTAGCACCTAGAAAAATTGGTTCAAAACTGGTAGAAGGATAAAAGCACCAGTTTCACAGCAAGTTCAGCATAGCCTTACTCCATTTTTTTTTTTCTATTTTTGGTAATAGTGACTTTATCTATGTGTTCTGTGGGTACTGGTCATTTTCATCTCTGCTTCCTGTGATCTTTTGAAGAAAGGGAAAGTGATTTGAGGTTAATATTATACCAAGGCCTTCTCTGGTTAACGTGTGGCTCACTTGAAATTTGCTTGTGCAAGTCTGTCACAGTGGTTTAAACATAAATGAGTTTGTGAAGTACCATATTTACTTGAATCTAAGATGACTTTGAATTTGGGACAACCTCCCAATACTTAGATTCTACACTTGGGAAATTATAAATTTGTTATAATTTTACATTATAGAGTCTACTTATTGGAGGGTTGTCTTTTAAATTCACGCTGCCTGACCACTGCTGTGGAAGGGAAAGCAGCAGCAAGAGACTAGGGGCCAGAGCCCTGACCTCCCTGACAGTTGCTTCCTGAAGTGTCTGCCCTTCCACCATGTTCCCCTTGCCCCTCCTTACCCTCCCCTGGTGCCTGGCCCCTCATTGCCTGTGCCTGACCTCCTGCTGCCTGCCCCTTCACCCGTTGGTTCCCTTACCTGTGCCTGCCCCCCCGCCACCTACTCTCCCCACTGCCTAACCCCCCCTACCATTTACCTTCTGTGATGCTCTGGGGTAGTCAGCAGTGTCCCAGCCTGGCCAAACAGTATCAGGTCCAGGCTGAGTCAGAGCTAGAGTTGAAAGTAAGGCAGGGGTATGGAGGCAGGCTGCAGAGTCTCCCCTGTGCTCTTCCCACCATAGGGTTCCCCTGGCTGCAAGCACCTTCCCCTGCCAGCTGCCACACGAGCCACCCTGGCCTGGAGAAGGTTGTGGCTCAGCTTCGGCCTGGGCCCTGGGTCCAAATCCAGACCTTAGCTGCTGCTTGAACTGGAACAATACTCGAGTGTAAATGGGTCCACACCGCCCCGCCCCCCCCAATGGTGATTGGTGGGAAAAATCTCATCTGGGATTTGAGTAAATCTGGCAATTTATGGAAACCAGCAAATTTGTAAGTATTTATTTTGGTATACTTTTGATTTGTTTCAGGTTAGTTTAAAGCAGCTCCTAAATGATTTAAGCTACATCAAAATAAGCTGCCCTTAAACCAGAATAAGAATTTCTGCATTGGCATCTGTTCTTTTTCACTTGAATTAGCTAAGTCACCTCATTAGCTTATCCGGTGAAAGTTTTTCCTCAAGGCAAAGTTCTAGAAACTTGGGTCTACATTTAGGTACCTTAAGCAGGTATTTAGAGGATGAGCTGTAGGTAGGCAGGTTTGAAAACTGGGTCCAAAGGCAGCATGGCTTAGACAATGTGAGGGTAGAATGGCTTTCTCATTTTATACAGAGGCCCCTGAGTTTTAACACAGGGGTCAGCAACGTTTTTGGGCAGAGTGCGAAAAACACCTGCAACCTCCAGCTGTAAGATGTTGGCATCCCAGGAGCGGACTGGGGGGGATCTATGAGGGGCCTAATCCTTTTTGTGGCAGTGTAGCCTTGACCCCTTCCCCAAGGTGCATGCGCGAAGCAAAATGCCTTTGTGTGCCATGCTCTGGCACACGTGCCGCGGGTTGCCTACCCCTGATTTAGCATGTTGACCAGCCAGTGTTAATGCTTTAAAGGTTCAGTAGAAGTTGCAGTTATCTCCGGGGTATGGGGTGCTTATGCAAGTGGTTAACCCTTGACTGTAGGCTTGGTGTGGATAGGAACTCTCATAGTCTAAGTGTGAGTCTTTATTTATTTATATATTTACTTACTTATTTTTGGTGAGACCTGCCACACTTTTAAAAGGAAAACTGCTGTTTATGAAGCTAAAACTGCCTCCTGCAGATAGAACAGGAGCAAATGTGAACTGAAGCAAGCTTCTGGGCACATAGTGCAGCGACCTTTTTCAGGCTCTGGTTTCTGTTTCAGCATTGTGAAGTCCTTTTCTCTGACTGAAGATAAATGGCCTTCCAAAATAGCAACTCCCAAATGGGGGCGGGGAGGGGGAGGAATGGAGCAGAGATGAACAAGATTGGAACAGTAGCAGAGTGGCCCTGTCACCCCTAAGCTGTGATTTGTCTGCTGGTTTGTTCCTGCCCTCCCCCCCCACCTCCCCCGCCCCCTGTCCTGGCAAAGAAAAACTCACAGAACCATTCCTCCTCTTGGTGACAAAAAGGGTGGCAAGGCAGTGACTCCTGCAAGGCAGTTCAGGAGTTGCAAGGCAGTGACTCCTTTCATAGAGAATCAAAAGGATTCCTTTGGATACCAAAGCAGGGTGAAAAAATAACTCTTGGCTTTCATGGAAACCTCCAGTGCTACAGAGCTAAGAACGAATGGCTTACAACAAAGCATCAGTTGACAGGTGCTAATGCCATAGGGGAAACCTGTGGGGACAGTATAAACTTTTGGTTACCTAACCTCATGACAGCTCGAGGTCGTTTTGCACGGCAGAACTCTGGCCCTACTAGCAAATTTAGAGGCCTCTACCTGTGCTATGTAGCCATTGCCTGAAGCTGCAAGTAGGCAATCCCAGGCCTTTGGTTGCTTTGCCCACTGGTGCCTTCTCGGGTGGCATTTGTGCTCTGGTGATGCAGTTGCTGAGGGCAGGAAACAGGAGACCTTGCATCTGTCTAGTTTTCTGAGATTTTTTTGTGCTGCTTTTGTTGGTCAAGGCCCAAACCTTTAGTGTAAGAGCTAGGAAATGGGCATAATAATTGCATTCCTGCCTTGGCCAGTCTGCCTGAAAACAGAGGAGGCCAGATTAAATGGCTGCACTGATACCCCACTGGAGCCCCAGAGCTGCTTTGGGGCTCTGAGTTTGTTTTTTTGGTGGAGTGAGGTTTGGTATAATAGAGGTTTCCCTGAGGAGACTGATGGATAACTGGACAGGCAAAGGTGCTGGAACTAATAGCAGTAACTTATGTGAATGTTCTCTTGTGCTCTTTACCTTCTCCTCTTTGTCCATGAGTCTAGTACAATGCTGGCTTGGGTGGGGGCAGGTCAGAGGAAGCACAGTTCCTTTCAAAGCTGTGCTGCCCTGAAGGAAAAGGCTGTGACAGCAGAGTTGCCTCTCCATGCAGCTATACACATAGAAAAATCCTAGGCCTCTTGCGACACTTAGGAGGTTAGGGAACCATGGGTGGAATTCTGTTTTTTTTTCTTGGCCATCTGAGAGCCTAGATTTCATCATCTACATGACATTTCTGGCATTTAAATGCCCAGAGCAATTCTATTCCTGGACATGTAGCCCTGCACGTGTGGGTGACTACAGAGGCATGCAGGCTAGACATGCACACTGGCAAGCAAATGAGACTTCCCGTCTTCCTTGCCCCTTTCCCTCTGCCACTTCCCCCAGCCCCCTGATGACTTGCTGAATGTCTAGCACACTCACCTGGGAAGCCAGAGGACCTGGCTTCTAGTCCCTCTCCTCCAGAGGTGATTTGAACCTGATCTTCATGACCTTTCAATATAGCACTCTTTATTATTATATTATGTATCAGCTATTATCCAGTCCCTTCTCCAGCACTTTTTGGAGCTGGCTCCTTGGGCAGCCATGAAAGAGAGATATGGGGCAAGGAGGAAGGAAGCAAGCCAGCCAAAGGGTGTTTGGCTTAAGGAGCAAGGCCTGGGTTCTAGTTAGGGTCCTTGCTACTAGTGAGATCAAAGTTTCTTCCTTATAATGCTGTCCTTTCATTTTTCTTAGTGACTATACTAGTGGCTCAGCTTCACTAGAAGATGGGACTGGATAATGGCTGGAAGGAAAAGAGGTCCTGATTCAAACACCAACTGAGTGAGGACAGCTTGGGACCTAGGTCCTCTGTCTTTCCAGGTGAGTGGCTTAGCCCCTCTGCTATTGGAGGGAAAATATGTAGCTTCAACTTTCCCCTACCACTACTTGAGTCTAAATCTGGTAGTCATGGTTTTTGCTCAGTTCCACAGTTCTGGACATCTTTGGATACAAGGGGTGCATGTATGTGCCCTGGCCCCTTTTGCACGTGCTCTGTTTGCGCAGCTATCTAGTCATCCATAGTATCCATGCATGCAAAGCCACATGTCCAGGAATAGAATCTCTCTGGGTGCGTAAGCACCAACAATGCCCTGTAGACCAAGAAATAACCACTTAAATGGCTAGGAAACAGTAGGCTGCCACCTCGTGTCCTCTGCCTACTGCTCAGGGGAAGGCAGGCTTTGCCCATTTGTCTCTGTTGGTAAGGTGTTTCCAGAGGTTTA